CTCTCATAACCAGCACATTGAGATTAACCAAAATATTTAATTTATATGCTCATATTAGACCTTCAAAGTCTCTTATAAAAAAAATTTATATATTAAAATGAATATATTTGATTCTGATATCTACATAATAACTCCAAAAAAATTAAGAGCAAGATCCAATTCTTTGTGGGCAAGCAAATAGAGTCAACAGGATTCGATTAATGAAATGAAATTACCCGTAATCCTTGATGATGGTCATGTTGAATGAAAATCCCAATCGGGGAGATCCACACAAATTTCAAAGAAATGCCCCCAAATCTCAAAGTTAACTATTCGGGGCTCAAGTTTAAATAAAAATTTCAAATATATTGCTCTTCAAAATTTCAAAATATCTAATCAAAATAAATCACCTAAACACTTAAAATTCATCCACCATCCGCAATAGTTTGTCGAGATGGATAAATTTGAAAATCACTTCAGCTAACAAAGAGTGAATGTTCAATTGAAAATATCACTATGATTCATTCTTAAACTATCTCTTACTAATAATGACGTGGCACGTGTCCTCTAACCGATGGTTTCACCACTAAATGATATCATAGGTAAACAGTTATGACCAAGACTCTATAACCGGGTGATTTTGCCGCCAAATGATACTATTAAATTACAGTCAAGACCAGAGGCCGTATGTTCCCCAATGACTCTAAACTCTTGAGTGATGAATCAATAAGGCATAATCGATAGGGAACAAAGCCATTTGTTAGCTAAGATGAACTCAAATTTGTCCCCTTAGTAAAGCATTAACCCAAAAATCTACAAGATACCCTTGGACGAAACAACTCATGACTACCGACAAGAATCCTTCAACTAGGTTGGGTCGACTACCTTCTCTGACTAATTAGACCATGGACCATAATGTCCCGGGACAACGGAACCATGGAATCTTGATCGGGTTCATTATCACTCCTCCCAGCATCCGCTTTAAATGTGCGGTGATAATTATTTGATTTTCAATATATAATTTTGCTGCTACTATACACTAAATACTATGTATCTATTCAACAATTAGCCTTAATCGAAAGTTCTCTTTTGTTATCGGGAGGGGTAATTAACTATAGAGGCTTGCGCTTATAGGAAACCAAAACTCCGATAATAAAGTCCTCACAAAATGAGGGTGAAATCTCTAGGTAGTGTCTTATCTAAAAACTTAATCTGCCTTCTAAAAAATTATCATGAAACATAAACTCATTAAAACTCTCCTCGCCAATACAAAACGAATGGGTCGTGGAGCAGCCGAGGCACTAATTTTCGAAGCCCACAACTGTTGATAAGAGTAATTCATAAAGCTAGACTCTTTTTCTAAATAAAAATATGTTAAATGATATAATTAGCAATAATGATGACTAATCTTTCTTCATAATTGATGCATACCTACAAAATTATGATGTTCCAAATAATTTGGTCGCCCAACAATGATAGTCTTCATCCAATTAAGGACAAAGCGACGATACTTTCAACTCTTGATCATTGGATAACTTCAAACTACGTGAAAGCCTTCCATCAAATTCATAAAATTGGCTATGGATATAAACCGCCAACTAGGATCCAACAGTCCAACTCGCATCATGCTCAACATCAATCTCATGAATCTACTGCTTGATTTCAATCTCCAACAACACATCTTAAGCCTAAGAGCCCTATGCATCACAACGGGAGGCGGTATCATTTTAGCATAGACCTTGGAGTCAAGGTGTCACACTTCTCAAAATTTTAATTACCTAAAGAACAAAAATACATTCACGTAGGAGTATTATTGCACAAATCTAGAAAAAGAAGTATATTCACCATCCACCATCCATCTTTGTACATATTAACCACCCTTCACCCTCACCTCTATAAATACCCACTTTCGAGGTAAGTAAGGAACATTTTTAACTCACTTTACTTTACCCATTGAAGGAGAAAATCGCTCCTCTGAGCCTTCACTCTTCATACCAAGAAGAAAACTTGAATTAGTTTCAAGTTTTATTTATCCTAATTAATGAATTGAGTGCCAGAGGGTCTTCATAAAAATAAAATCCATGGTTTGGCCTATCGACCTCTTGTTTTGTTGATTGCCTGCAAGAGACGAAATCAAGCTTGAGACTGCCATTAAACCGATTCTATCGACACTCAAAGGCCATTTTGGCACACAAAAGTTTAGAGTCATATATAAGATCACATTAACTATCACTAATGGAAATAAATCAAATAAGACATGGGTATGCATCTATGTGCAAGTGTCAACCACCTCTTGTCGAGATTTAAGAATATCTTCTCCTCCTCATCAGGTTTCAACCCCTTCCTCATTTGTATATGCATCAAGATTGTTGATTATGTGATGAGGACAATATGCATATGTTGAGGACAAGTATTTTGAAGACAATAATGGTGACACAACATCAACATACAACTTTAAGTCAAGAATAATGTAATGTCTTCGACTGACGCTATCAACAACCTTTAAAGGATGTCAAAAATATGGACTCATAATTCACGCCTCTTTATGTTGCTTTGATGCACGCTCAATTGAAATCTTTATCAGTGTCACTTTATACATCTTTTAGTGAACGCTCCTTTGTTGGCATCGTTATTGCACCTCAATTCCATTTCACTCGCACCACAGTTGGCATTGTTATCTACACCTTTACAAGTTTGAATATCTAAACTTTTAACCTTTCAAAGTAGGAAGAGATAAAATAAGCTTTGTCCTCCAAAAGATTGCATACCATTTACAAAAACAAAATAACAAGCTTGTTTCTTCATGTGACTTTGTTACTTGAGCTACTTATACCTTTACATATACCAAAAACATCCATTTCTAAATTGTTTATGGCTTTAATGCTTCATTATGCAAACTCGTCACCTAAGCTGGTTTCATCACTCACACTTAGAAACTTTGTCATCAACATTACTTGCAACTCAACAAATAACTCCGACGACGACTCCTTAGTTTGTCACACTACTAGCACAAATGTATCAACATATGCATCTACATAGCATGCAATGATCCCATTTATGTGGGAATCATATTCATTGGGGGAGGCAAACATTATTTCTCAAATTTCATGTTCTTTTAACAAGGTCTTATTTTTGGCATACATTTGATTTTGAATATGTTGTCGACGTCAATTTATTAGTTATTCAAAATTATTCTTATTAGAATCTTGTCAGAATCTAGTTATTGAAATTTGGCAATTTTCAGAATGAGAGCGCCTCAACACTCCACTTTCAACCAAGGAAATTAAGGGTTTTAGAGCTTTAACGGCACCTCAAATCAAAAGGATGGTATGTAACTCTTATCAATTTCTACCAAATATGAGTAATATAAAGTAGAAGTGTTATTGCTAAGATAGACTTAGGGTAAAATGATTGACCGAGAAATTATAATATAAGGGAATAAGCGGTAGTAGCATTTATTAAAGATGAGATAGTACAATTTAAATTTAGGAGGTTGGGCATATTAAATGCAGGATAGAAGGTAGAGCAATAAAACAGGTCAATAAATTGTGTGGAAGGATTAAGAATAAGATAATACAGCTAGTATTGTGCAAAAAGATTTCACAAAATAGTGTTAGCATGTCATAGAGCATACAAAATAAATGAGTTGAAGCGAGAGAATAAAAAAGATGATTATTTATCATTATGATGACATTAATGATGATCATGATGAATGAAGTCCAGCTATGATATAACCCAACTTATTTCAATGTGCAATGACCATTGTTGTACCTTACACATATGAGTGGGATATTATCTGTCGCTACTTTTTTTCTCAACGTATAGCAAGATGTCCTACATGCAATGGAGCCGCCAAACATAGCATGAATTGGTATATAATATGTTAGTGACCACAAGCAATAGGAATAAGTTATACATGAATAAAGCAACTATGAAAACTTTAGAGGTATTTTGTGATATCTAGAGTGCATAATAGAGCATTAAATCTAAAACATTTTTCAAGCATCCTTACTATTCTTAGAGTAAAACTAAAGAATCATTCCCAATGTTCTCAATAAAAATGCATGAGAAAAAGTGTTAGTTTATGCTAGAAGAGAAAATCTCTCCAATAAGAATCCAATTCAAGCTAAAACTTAAGCAGTAAGCACGTATGATAAATTACAGGCCAGCTTCAAGTTAAAAATTTGAGATGTGTTATGCAAAAGAAAAAAGACGATAATGTGAAGGTCAATGAGGGCAAGTGGACAACTTATACAATGGCTACTAAGGCTTTAAAAAGTACAACATTAAAAACTTAGAAGACTTCCATGAACTAGCAATTATCACCATTACAGATTCATGATTCACGGATTGTAGCCACATTTTGATAAGATAAACTTCTCATTCAGAGAGGCAACCCATCAAATGTAATTTAAGCATCATAATTGTTTGTACTTAATTATGTTAGGTTCAACATTATTAACATCGACTTACAACTTGATAATCATCTATTGCCAAAGACTTTGACTGGAAAACTATAACTCATAAAGTTAAGCTAAAGATGAAAGAGTTTTTGAGTATTTTCCAAACTAAAATGAAAAGCGCACTCCAACCAAACTAATGATTTCTGGATCTTAACACTGCATGCCAAGATTATTCAAATGCCTTTCTCAATTTCTTTCTAACATATCATGAGATACCAAGCAGTAGTCTGATCAAATGATGATTGTAAATGTTCATGGCCATCTATTAGAACATATGGAATGGAATTGAGGAAATCAATTAACATGATTCATTTTCCGAATTCTATGACTGAACTTCACACAAAGATATCAGTTCATTAAACTAATTAGTGGGTTTAATCCCTAAGTTTAAGAATATCATACGGCACATTGGAGATAAGAGTTTTACAGAAGTTAACGCATGGACCTGAATTTAAAAGCGCATCCAATCTACTAAAATAAAAGGAAATGTAATTCAAAGATAAAAGGTAAAGACAAAGGATATGGCATAAACAAAAGAACTACTAAATTGAAACTGACCTCTGGATTGACTCGAGTCAACACAATGTTCCTTTCTTGTAGCCTTATGACAGGGCGTTTAATGGGCTCCAGACCCCCAGGCAATAAAGGAACCTGCTCATTCTGCACACCAACCAACCTACCATTATCTAAAACGGTGTCGCTCTCCGTATACTGCCTCAACATTTCTTTGTCCTCTATGTAACGCTTTAGTTCTGCAGACATTCCAGAAACCTTGACAGGATCATTCTCGGCACGAATTCTGCGGGACAACGCCTCAATTCTGTCCTCAAATGACTTCATTGTGTTGGCGACGATGAGCGTTTCATCGAGATCGAATACGATGGCAAGGCACCGCAGATTGAGCATCCCCAAACAAGAGTTGTAGAGGCCAGCCCGAACCGAACAGCACCAGAAGCACGGGGACTTCTCTACCTTACTCCGCATTGCAACCAAATGCAGTTCTTCATCTCCAACAACCATAAATGCGGTCTGGATGTTTAGGTAGGATCTCAAATGGTATGCCAGTAATCATGAGGGAAAAAAAATAAGGAAAAATGAACGGAAAAGGAGAAACCTTGAATTCTTGGAAGCAGGATAGGTAGAGCCTCGAGATTGGGGAATCGTTGGTGACCGATTTCGCCTGGATCTTGCACCGTATGGAAAATGGGGAAATTGTTTGTAACACCGAGAGTGGTGGGCACCGCTCGCTTGGAGTAGAAAGTTGAGTGATGCGTATCTCATTGTTGGGGAACTGGAAGCTGGGGTTATTTGTACTGGGGAATACTTCAGCCTCACCGAGGCAAACATCGCAATGGAAAACAGGGACGGACTTGATTCCTTGACGAGCCATCAGGATAATATGAACTTCGAAATGCTTCGACAGAAAGTGCGAAATTTGCAAGCCAAGCTCCCGAATTATGGTGTAAAGCACCAATCAAAAACCTGCAATTGCTGCAAATGGCTGCTGACTTTCGACCTAGGGCTTGGGGATTTCAAAAACTACGGTTCTTGGCGTGTTTGATTAATTGGGGTTATCGTCAACCTCTCTCTTCCCTCTCAATTCAACGCCCCCTCGCTTCAGCTCCTGCCCTATTTTCTAGATTCCTTTCCGATGAAAGATCTACCGGTTAGTTTGCTGCTTTTGCTACAGTAGATTAGGGTAGGATAGGAAAAAATTCGAAAAATTTAATTTTGTATACCCACCACAGCAACAATAAAAAAACATATATTATTATTTTTTTAAGATAAAAAAGTTTGAAGATTATACCAAAACACTTTCACATTTCAGTGCTGAATATTTATTTAAAATTCACTACGACCAACATTGGTCAAGCAATCTTTTAACAATATTGATTCATGTTCAAATTTTATTTGAAATAAGTTGAACATAATTTGAACATGATTTGAATAAAGTTTAAATAAAAACCATTACTATAATTCGAACAAGTATCGAAAAGACTTGAAAGCATGTTCAAATAAAGCTTAAATAAGATTCAAATAACGTGCAAACATTGATCAAATAACATTCAAGTAAATTTTGAATCATGATCTAATAAATTTGAGCATAGTTTGAAAAAGATTTGAATATGATAAATGGACATAGTATGATACAATTCAAGAGATATAGCAAATATTCATAGCATAATAGAGTTCAATTAAACACAACGTCCATAATACAACAAAATGCAATTGAAGAGATAATATAATGGTGCAATTCAAAAGATAACACAATATATATAATTTGAGAAGTTGATAAAAACAATCCATATAGAATTGTAGGTAATCATGTGTAACATTCAAAAGATATTGTACTTGTACTCATTTGATAAATAATATTCTCTCTAAAAAGTCAAATTTAGAATCACATTGGTGCTAACAATAACTTACACATAGTGAGGTAAATTCATAAGCTCATGAAAATCATCATCACTCAAATCATTTTCATCAAGCGAGACATGATAGTGCATTGATCTTTAGCATCACATTCATCAAATATTGGTAGTGATAAATTCAATTATGACAAATATTGTATCATTGTCTCTATTATAAAATATAATGATGTCATTGGCCTTAAATATTCCAACAATTTTATACCATAACACTAGCTTTATATATAGCCCGAGTTGCGTATTTTCTCTTTATAAGTATGATTAGAGTTAAAATCTACATACATAGTATAACAACTTAAATAAGCCAACTCTAAAAAAGACAATGAGGGTAAAATAATATAATTTGAACTATATTCGAAAATTGCACAAACCTTGATCTAATTTTACACAAACGTTATTCAAACCAAACCTTATTTGAAACATTACAAATCTTGCTTCAAACCTTATTTAAATAGGGTGCCGCCTTGATTGAAACTTATTTGAACATTCTTCAAATATTGTTCGAACCTTATTAAAAAAATGTTGAGATTTGATCCATGTTTAAATAATAGTCCATCAAAGTTTGAATAAGACTCAATTAACATTAAAGAAATATGACATAGAATGTCATTTTAGGTTTAGGGTTTAGAGTGCAAAAAAAAAAAAAATCAAACCTAAATGACCAAACACATAACATCACTGATCTAAAATAGCTAGACGAAAACAACGACGGTGTAACACCCATAGTTCCAAAATTTTAGGTAATTAATGTAAATTAAAATGAATGTTTGCTTAATCTTGATTTAGTTAGTAATTGTGAGTTTTACTACTGTTGGTTCATTCTAAATAAGCCAAGAATTTGAATTGGGAAAGAGAAAATGCAAGTCACCAAATGTAAAAGGAGGGCGTTGTGACGACGCCAAGCTCTCAATTTGGAAGTTATGGGAATGATCTGGAATATTCTTTGACAGCATAGCGGCATTGGGATGGTGAGCGCCATGGCATCATGCCTAAAATGATTTTTTTTAATATAAAAATATCCTAATCCATTTCCATCGCCACTTCACCCTAGCCATTACTAGAGAAGGAAAGCAAAAAGAGGAGAGAAAAAGAAAAAGAGAGTTCAAGGGGCCAAAGCTCAGGTTTCTTCTGTCGGGCCAATTAAGGATTTAATAGAGCACGAGGTAAACTTTTGAACTTCTATTTCTGATTTTACTTCCAATATTTTTATAAAAAAATATGGATAAAAATATATTTCTCTTAAGTTTTATGATATTTTCACATGTTGACCTCATTTTTGTGTAAGGTCAAGAACATCAAATCAAACTCAATCCCTAACCATCCAAGTCATAAATAAAATTCAAAATCCAAAATAAAAGGCTCAAATTCAAATAAAAAACCCCTCGGTCCTAGCTTTCAGGGAAAATTCAAATCCTTCACAATCCTATTAAATGGCCTTAGATTCATGATCAGTTAAATGCATACTTATTAGGTATGTCCCTAGGGTCAATCATATCAATTTGAAAGCATTTCAAGCCTCCTAACCCCCAAAACTAAATGCATTTCCAAAGGTTATAAAACCTTCAAATATGTATAACCTATACCACTCGATCATGTATCTTATGAAAATTGACCTTGGAAGCCCTCTCAAAACCTTTGAACATGTACATGAGCAATCTCATATTGGTTTGAAATCCCTTGAATCCTTGGTGGACCATAGTTTATCATGGTTGACCTTGAACCCAAAAATCCTGAAACCCTTAAAAATTTGAATTTCTTTTAAACTTCAACATAGCTCTGTCAAACCAAGCCATGAAACATCCTCCAACTCATCTTAAATGTGAAATAGAGTGCATTAAATCTAACTCCAACCCTTAATCAACCTTGGTTGACCAAGTCAACCTAGGTTGGCCAAAGTGCCCCTTAAGCACTTAAACATGCATTTTGGTATAGGGGTGTCAATTCGTGTCATCGTGTCGTGTTCAGGCCAGACTCGACTTTGACCCGGGAAATTTTGACCCGACCCGAAGACGACCCAATTTATGTTTCGGGTCAATTTCTTTGGCCCGAACCCGACCCGGCTCAAGTTTGTGTCAACCTGACCCGACCCGAAAGCTATTAGAGCAATTAAAATATAAGATTTGAACAATTACTTAGCACTTGAAATAATGAAAGTGCAATGTTACATTTATGATTTCTCACAGAAAAGTAAAAAAACATAATAAATACATTACTATATGATTGCAAATTTGCAATTTACAAAGAAACTAAAAATAGTGAAATTGAAAATTAAAATAATGAAATTACATCTTGATCTTGTAGATTAGTACATAACAGACATGAGAGATGAGACATTACACATTTACACCTAGTCAGTTAGATAGTTACAGACTTAAATACTTAATATACACTGCAGAAATCCAAGTCTCCAACAATCCAAGTTCCAACTTGAAGATTTCATTAAAATGTAATACCTGTTAAACACTTAAAAATTAAAAATTCTAAATAAATAAAAATTATAAAATGCCAACTGCCAAAGTTAAATAATGAATTAGTATAACTATAAAGATTTAACAAATAGCTCAAGTAAAACCTTTCAACTCATTTAGCAACTATGAAGTGAGTGAAGAATGTATATTTGATTTTTCAAAATCTCTATTACCATCCAAGGCAGCATTTTACATTAAACTTAATATAGTATCTTTGAAATAATAATGTATATCATATCTGTTCTTGATATAAGCTAACACAAATGCCACCTGGTTGCAATAGTAAATAGTATTTACCCCAATGCCCGATGTCTCACTTTTGATTGAGAAGGTTTTTCATCATTGCTTGAGCTTTTATAACTATACACTTTATTTCTTTACCTTAATTCATCAAGACTCAAGAGAAATCTTCAATCCAAAACTCCAAATTCCAATGAAACAAAAACAAAACATATAATCAGTAATATACGATCCAACTCCAGCAGGTAAAATCGCAAAACAGACACCAGCAAGTTGATTCAGAACATCATAAAAATTAAAACATATAAATTTATAATGGATGCCAACATATAATATTCGCTCCATCAAGCAAAAGTGCACAACCACCAAAGTTCTGGAGCAACAACACTACAACAGCTTTCCAAAGAGACTTAAAGTAAATGTAAAAATAAATGTACAATAAAAATTATAAAAGGATGAATTCAACAATATAAATTACTTAATCGATATATGCCAGCAATATCTAAAGCTTGTGGGAAGTTCGAAAGGAAAATATCTAACTATAAGGGGAGAGTAGTATTTACATGTGAAATTGAGCCTAGCTACAACAACCAGTTAATCACTCGATCACGAAGAACAAAAACCCAAAACCCTAAAGTCGGAAACTAGGGTAAGGCCGCAAGGGCATGGAGCGAACTGCGAAAGTGCGAAACAAAGAATGAGAGAACTAAGAAGATTCAAGACACTCATACACAGGGCGAAATGAGAGAAGATTCGAGAGTCGAGACACTCGACTCAAAACCACGCGACCTACTTAATATTTATTTTCCTTTTCCATTTTTCCACGGACCGTAAGCATAGTGCCATAGGCCCTTAGCCACATCACGTGTACCCGCGTGCGACGTGCGCGTACTGATTTAAGGAATCGGGTTATAAGCGGTTCAAAATTGGGTTTTTCGGGTTGACCCAAATCCGACCTAAAAATCAAAACATGTCAAATATTCCAACCCTAACCTGACCCGTTTGCTAATCGGGTCGACCCAAACCCAAAATTTCCAGGTCTTGTTTTCAGGTCGGGTCTAATATTGACACCCCTAATTTTGTACCAAATGATCTCACCAATACATGAAACATGTTCAAACAAATTCCAAATGTCATTTAAATCTGATTAGACCCCACCTTGACCCCTTTTTAAACCTATTTGACCAAGTCAACCTAGATAGACCAAAATCACATAAACCTTAAAATTTTGAAACTCGTGATTTTGACGAAATCAATCAACCAAACTCATGGGTACAGTCCATTATGGTCCCCATGAGCCTCCTTAAAAAATTTAGCCCATGGGCCCATCTGGTTTAGCCAAATTGGTTGAACCAAGTAGACCAAAAGTAGTTTTCTTGAACTAAAGTTCAATCCTTGTAAAATTAAATTGCAACAATGGTTGTAGTAGGTGTCCCTTGGCATATTGCATCAAACCCAATAAGACTAGTCCATAGTTTGACCTGGGTCAACCAATTAGGTTGAATTAAGCCCTTCAAAGCTCGAATTCATGGACCCAAACTCAACCCATCTCAAATTGAT